GAGGAGGAGGAGGAGGAGGAGGAGGAGGAGAACTGTGGGGTCCTTGGTGCTCTCTCAGCTGGGTGGTTTTCTTGCAGACGTTTCATGACCCAACTAGGTAATATCAGTGGTAGGAAGGAGGAGGGTCTGGGAGGAGGAGGAGGAGGAGGAGGACGACGACGACTGTGAGGTCCTTGGTGTTCTCTGAGCTTGGCTGCTTTCTTGCAGATGTTTCATGACCCAACTAGGTAATATCATCAGTGGTAGGAGGGAGTAGGGTCTGGGAGGAGGAGGAGGAGCAGAACTGTGGGGTCCTTGGTGTTCTCTGAGCTTGGTGGTTTTCTTGCAGATGTTTCATTATCCAACTAAGTAATATTGTTGGGAGGAGGGTTTGTGGAAGGGAGGAGGAGGAGGAGGAGAAGGAGGAGTGGAAGGCTTAACTACCTGTACTTTTCAAGGGCAGCTCCATGTAGAGGCTGTTGCAATAATCAAGACCGAATGGTGCACAAACACGGTATGTTGGGCTTTGACAGAGGGGGGTTCCGAAAAAAAGAAGAAGCCCTGCAGTATGTGAACTGGAACCCAAGTCCTGACCCCCTCACTCCTTACCAACAAAGTCTGAGCTGCAATCTTGTTGGCGAGCGGGCCGGGCATCCCCATCTTCACGGCCCCTTCCGCTAGGGCTTCCGCGAACATGTAGACCTGTGAGGAGGAGGAGGAAACTTGTAACTTTGAACAGTCACTAAGTGAACCGTCGTAAGTCGAGGCCTGCCCGTAAAGCTTTGGAGGTTTGAAGAGATGGGAGGACAGGGCTGACCGAATGAACTAATCAGAGACTCAACTAGAACTAAGGAGAAAATTCCTGACAGTGAGAACAATTAACTAGTGGAACAACCTGCCTCCAGAAGCGGTGAATGCTCCAACACTGGAAATCATTAAGAAGAGACTGGACAGCCATTTGTCCGACATGGTCTAAGGTTTCCTGCCTGAGCAGGGGGTTGGACTAGAAGACCTCCAAGGTCCCTTCCAACTTTTATTATTATTATTAACTGCACTCCCTCTCAACTTTCCAAAACTGTCCCAAACCTCACGCTCCCTCCTCTATCACGAAATACAAATGACAACCGCTCCGAGTTACAACGGCACTAAAAAAAAAAAGTCAACTTATGACTGTTTTTCACATTTGTGACCGTGGCAGCATCCCCGAGATTAAAATTTATCCGTTTCGCAACTGACTCGTATTTATGACGGTCACAGTGTCCCGGGGTCACAGGATCCCCTTTTGACAATCTTCTGTCAAGCAAAGTCAATGGGGCAAGGGTAGGCAACCTTGGCCCTTTTATGACTCGTGGACTTCAACTCCCAGAATTCCTGAGCCAGCATGGGGGAACTATGGCCCCTTCATGACTCGCGGACTGCAACTCCCAGAATTCCTGAGCCAGCATGGAGGAACTATGGCCCCTTCATGACTGGTGGACTTCAACTCCCAGAATTCCTGAGCCAGCATGGGGGAAACTTTGGCCCCTTCATGACTGGTGGACTTCAACTCCCAGAATTCCTGAGCCAGCATGGCTCAGCTTGGAAAGCTCTCCCTTTCCCCTCAGCATGGCTGGCTCAGGAATTCTGGGAGTTGAAGTTCAAAGTCTTAAAGTTCCCGTGGTTGGACACCCATAATATAGACCAGGGGTAGGCAACCTTGGCTCTTTCATGACTCGTGGACTTCAACTCCCAGAATTCCTGAGCCAGCCATGCTGAGGGGAAAGGGAGAGGTTTCCAAGCTGAGCCATACTGGCTGAGGAATTCTGGGAGTTGAAGTCCACAAGTCATGAAGGGGCCATAGTTCCCCCATGTTGGCTCAGGAATTCTGGGAGTTGAAGTCCACAAGTCATGAAGGGGCCATAGTTCCCCATGCTGGCTCAGGAATTCTGGGAGTTGAAGTCCACGAGTCATAAAACAGCCAAGGTTGCCTTCCCCTGCAATGAGGGGAAGCCCGATTCGCTTAACGACCGTGCGACTACCTTCACAACTTCCGTGATTCACTGAACGAGTGTGGCAAGAAAGGTCGTAAAATGAGGCCAAATTCACTTAACTGTCTCACTTAGTGACAGAAATTCTCGGCTCAGATATGGTCATAAGTTGAGGACATTTTCACAGATTGAGGTCTACCTAAGTGTTGAAGTACAACTTCCAAAATTCCTAATAAGACAGGGCAACAAGCCAACATCTCTAGTAACTATGATGAGGAAAGCTGAGATATACTGGTTATTTATTTTTATTTTTTTATAATATTTTATTGATTTTCCAATTTTATGTTTGAGTATTTAAAAAAGCAACGAGGTGACTGGGTTAATCAATAGCTCAATAACAAAATCTTTAGTGCAAATCTCAGGTTACAACATCAGATATTTCTTCTCTTTTTCCCTTAAAATTTACTGTCTCGTATTCAAGCCAGTACATTTCTAATTATATCAACAATAAAAACATCATTATTACATTTATCATTGTTTTTAGCTTATACGTATCTTAATTACATTCAATCTTCGTAAACAATCCATATCCTGTTATTAATTTTTACATAACTTTTAATTTCTCATCAATATTCCAATTTAACCTTTGATATCCATAATTTTCAGACTTTGGGTAACCAAGGTTTCCCTTACCTCACTTCATAACAAACCATAATATCCAAAATACACATTTTATCTATTGAAATGTAATCTTGTTCTATTTCCTAAAAATTATCGATTTCCCACATTAAATCATCTGAAAATTCTGGATAGCAAAGGTTAAATTGGAATATTGATGAGAAATTAAAAGTTATGTAAAAATTAATAACAGGATATGGATTGTTTATAAAGATTGAATGTAATTAAGATACGTATAAGCTAAAAATTTATTGATAAATGTAATAATGCAATATCCCCTTTGATAAATCAAAACCATTATATATATTGCCTGGGTTAATCAATAAATCAAACGTATTCATGATAATTAATGTTCTTTTCCCTTTTAGATCTAAGTTTTCAATCTTAAACAAATCAAATCCTGTGTATACTGGTTATTTTTGGAGGTCACCCAAGGTTTGGGTTCCTAATTATTATTATTTTTGGGGGGGGGGGGCTAAGGACAAAATCAGGTTGCAGAAAAAGGAAGAGGACCTGGTGGGAACACCTGCATGTGGACTAGAAACTTAAAAGATTCTTTGAAAAAGCCACTGCCTGATGGAACTGGGAGAGGGGCAGATGCCTCATGTGCAATTTGCAACGAACGCAGGTAAACCTCGACTCTGCCCCATTTTACAAACCGTTGTTAAGTGAAGGTCGCAAAAGCGGATCACGTGACCCCGGGACGCCATGACCGTCATTAAAGACGAGTCATTGGCCAAGCGCCTGAATGTCGATCCCGTGAGCAGGCAGACGGCGCGACGGCTGTCAAGGGCGAAAAACGGTCCCAAGTCGCTTTTCAGCGCCGTTGTATCTGCAAGCGGTCGCTAAACGAACGGTCGCTAAGTCGAGGACCGGCTGTGTAAGAGGCTGATTAAGGACGGGGCGGAAAAGGAGACTCACGTAAGCCACGCCGCTGCCGCTCAGCGCCGTGTGGATGTCGATGTAGGATTCGGGCGCCTCTTCGCACAACCCGCAGGGAGCCAGGAGGGCCTTCAGCACAGAGGTCTCCTCTTTTCCCACGGAGGAGCCCCGGGTGAGCAGGACGGCTCCCGACTGCACCTCGCAAGGCAGGTTGGGCATGATCCGCAGGACCTGGGTGCCCACGGGAAGCAGCTGCGAGGAAGGAGAGAAGGGAACGGTCACGACTGAATCCTGGAGGATCATCACTCAAATAGGAGCCAGCCGTGTGCTGCAGCTGCCCAAAAAGCCAACACAGTGCTGGGCTGCATTAACAGAGGGATGGAATCAGGATCAGGTGAAGTGTTAATACCACTTTACAAGGCCTTGGTAAGGCCACACTTGGAATCCTGCATCCAGTTTTGGTCACCATTATGTAAAAAAGATGTTGAGACTCTAGAAAGAGTGCAGAGAAGAGCAACAAAGATGATTAAGGGACTGCAGGCTAAAACATATAAGGAACGGTTGCTGGAATTGGGAATGTCTAGTTTAATGAAGAGAAGGACTAGGGGGGACATGATAGCAGTATTCTAATATTTGAGGGGCTGCCACAAAGAAGAGGGAGTCAAGCTATTCTCCAAAGCGCCTGAAGGCAGGACAAGAAGCAACGGATGGAAACTAATCAAGGAGAGAAGCAACCTAGAATTTAGGAGGAATTTCGTTTAATAGAACATAAAAGAACAGAATATAGAACAGAATGGAATATAGAATACAATATAGAGGAATAGAATATAGAATAGAATAGAATAGAAAATATGGAGTGGAATAGAATGGAATGGAATAGAATAGAATAGAACAGAACAGGAGCTGGAAGGGACCTTGGAGGTCATCTAGTCCAACCCCCTGCTCAGGCAGGAAACCCTATATACCCTTTCAGACAAATGGCTGTTCAGTCTCTTCTTAAAAATTTCCAGTATTGGAGCATTCACAGCTTCTGGAGGCAGGTTGTTCCACTGGTAGAATAGAATAGGAATAGGAATAAGAATAGAATAGAGAATAGGAATGGAATGGAATAGAAGCTGGAAGGGATTTTGGAGGTCTTCTAGTCCAGCCCCCTGCTCGAACAGAAGAACTTATACCTATATAGAACAGAACAGAATATAGAATAGAAAATAGAAAATTAATATAGACTAGACTAGACTAGACTAGAATATGGAATGGAACAGAACGGAACAGTGCAATGCAATACAATACAATATGGAATGGAATACAATATGGGATGGAATGGAATACAATACAATGCAATATGGAATAGAATAGAATAGAAGCTGGAAGGGACCTTGGAGGTCTTCTAGTCCAGCCCCCTGCTCAAGCAGGAGAACCTATATCTATATATAAAAGTTTAAAATGAGAAGAAGGCAAGAGCATATGTGAGATGGGAAGGAAGGAAGGAAGGAAGGAAGGAAGGAAGGAAGGAAGGAAGGAAGGAAGGAAGCAAGCAAGCAAGCAAGCAAGCAAGCAAGCAAGCAAGCAAGCAAGCAAACCTTGGACTCTGGGCAGATAAAATATTAACATATAAAACAGTATATATAAAAGTTAAAAATAAGAAGGCAAGAGTTTATGCGAGATGGGGAGGGGAGGGGAGGTAAGGGACAAAGTAAGGAAGCAAGCAAGCAATCTTTGGACTCTGGGCAGGTAAAATAAAGTCTTCAAATATAAAACAGCATATACAAAAGCTAAACGTGAGAAGGCGTCAAGAGGGAGTAAACTCTATTAAACTGAGAAAGGAGGTAAATGTGAATCGGGCCCCGCCACTGCCACTTCCTGTTCCCAGGGACAGCGATACCCACGGATCCTGTTGTCCAGCCTGGGTAGGGCTCTTGTGGGACAGAGTAACCGAGCTGGAAGGGACCTTGGAGGTCCTCTAGTCCAACCCCCTGCTCAAGGAGGGACTCCCGATGAACAGAACCCCGACTGCTGGGCTTTAACAAGTGCAGCAACTGTTTGCAAAAAACCTCTTTTGAGCCTGGGACGGGGATCCTGGACATGCCCGAATACAGATAAATCCTCGACTTACAGCAGTTCGTTTAGTGACCGTTCGAAGTTACAACGGCAGTGAAAAAAAACCGACTCACGACTGTTTTTCCACACTTACGACCGTCGCAGCAGCCCTGCGGTCACGTGATTCAGATCCGGAGGCCTGACCACCGGTTCAGATTTACGACGGCCGCCGTGCCCCAGGCTCACGTGGACACAGGACAAGCAAAGTCAAGGGGGGGGAGCCAGATTCATTTAACGACCGTGCGACTAATTTAACCACTGCAGTGATCCACTTAACAACGGTGGCAAGAAAAGCCGTAAAACGGGACAAAGCTCCCTTCACAAATGTCTCGCTTAGCCACATAAACCCTGGGCTCAATTGTGGACGTAAGCCGAGGACGATCGGTATCCCTATAGGTTTCCTTCCTCCAGGAACTCACCTCTTCCAGGGTGCGGAGGGGGACGCCAGCGGCCATTGAAACGAGGACGTGCCTGGGCGTGACGGCGGGGCCGATCTCTCGCAGGACGGCCGGGAGGACGTGGGGCTTGGTGGCCAGGAATACGAAGGAGCACTTCTCCAGCACCTCCACGTTGCAGTGGGTCGTCTGGCAGGAGAAGCTCTTATGTCGGAAGGAGGAAATAAAAAAAGAAAGAAAAAGACGATGATAATAATAATAATAATAATAAAGTTGGAAGGGACCTTGGAGGTCATCAAGTCCAACCCCCTGCCCAGGCAGGAAACCCTATACCATTTCGGAAAAAATGGCTGTCCAGTCTCTTCTTAAAAACTTCCAGTGTTGGAGCATTCACCGCTTCTGGAGGCAGGTTGTTCCACTGGTTAATTGTTGAAGGGGCTGGAGGCTAAAACATACAAGGAACGGTTGCTGGAATTGGGTGTTTCTAGCTCAGGGGTAGGCAACCTGGGCTCTTTTGTGACTGGTGGACTTCAACTCCCAGAATCCGGAGCCAGCCATGCTGAGGGGAAAGGGAGAGGTTTCCAAGCTGAGCCAAGCTGGCTCAGGAATTCTGGGAGTTGAAGTCCACGGGTCATAAAAGAGCCAAGATTGCCTACCCCTGGTCTAGTTTAACGAGGAGAAGGACGAGGGGGGACAGGATAGCAATCTTCCAGTATCTCAGGGGCTGCCCCAAAGAAGAGGGAGTCAAGCTATTCTCCAAAGCACCTAAAGGCAGGACAAGAAGCAACGGATGGAAACTAACCAAGGAGAGAAGCAACCTAGAACTAAGGAGAAACTTCCTGACAGCTAGAACAATTAACCAGTGGAACAGCCTGCCTCCAGAAGCGGTGAATTATTCATCACTGGATGTTTTTAAGAAGAGACTGGACAGCCATTTGTCCGAAATGGTATAGGGTCTCCTGCCTGAGCAGGGGGTTGGACTAGATGACCTCCAAGGTCCCTTCCAGCTTTGTTTATTCTATTCTATTCTATTCTATTCTGTACTCTCCTATTCTATTCTCTCCTATTCTATTTTCTTGTATTCTCTCCTCTCCTCCCTTCCCTTCCCTATTCCATTCCATCCCATCCCATCTACGAGCAGTAGAAATGACTGGACAGGGGAAAACTTTACCTGTACATATTTACCTGGAATTTGTCCAGATTCCTGTTGGATGGAGCGCTGGCCAGAATATTCACTGCTTGGACTTCTCCTGCAGAGAGAGAGAGGAGAAAGGATGGCAATAGTAGTAGAACTCATCACTGGATTGCAAACTCGCTGAGTTCTAAACGCCCAAGACTTACAACAGGGGATAAAGCTACAAGACACCTCTAAAATCTAAATATTTAAATTAGGATGTGCTGGACATCCCATCAACTCTGCTGAAGAGCAGTTCAGATTTCTTGCTACACCTCGTATGTTGGGTGAAGGTCAAGGTGAGAAGATCCTGCCAATTGTTTCAAAAGGTACTTTTTCCAAAAGGCAACTGGCCTTTTTGTCTCTAACAAAGGAATAGAATAGAATAGAATTAGAATAAAATTATAGAATAGAATAGAATTATAGAATAGAATAAAATAGAATTAGAATAGAATAGTATAGAATAGAAAATAGGGAATAGAATAGAATAAGGAGAGAATAGAATAGAACAGAACAGAATAAAGAACAGAATAGACTAAAGAATAGAATAGAATAGATTAGAATAGAATAAGAATAGAACAGAATAGACTAAAGAATAGAATAGAATAGTAGAATATAGAATAGAATAGAACAGGAGAATAGAATAAATAGAATAGAATAAAGAATAGAATAGAATAGCAGAATAGAATAAAGAATAGAGTAGAATAGAATAGAGAATAGAATAGCAGAATCGAATAGAAAAGAAAAGGAATAGGATAAAATTCAGAATAGGATAGGATAGAATTCAGAATAGAATAGAATGAAGATTAGAATAGAATAAAGAATAGAAATAGAAATAGAACAGAATAGAGAATAGAAATAGAAATAGATATAGAACAGAATTCAGAATAAGATAGGATAGAATAGAATTTAGAATAGAACAGAATTCAGAATAGAAAAGAATAGAATAACTTTATTGTCACTTTGAATGTACACTAATCGGCATACATTAAAGTGAAATTCCGTTGCATACAGCTCTCAAAAGGTCACCACCGCCAATGTACACTAGATAAATATGACAAAAATAAATAAATGCAGAATGATGTATATACCCACATATATTATGTGACACAGCGAAACAAGACAGTCTAGTTCAGATTATATATACGGTATAAGCCGTTTCATTGGTTCTACCCCAGGATGAGCAGAAAGCTTCAGAAAATGGTGGTGTTGATGGACGTTGGCATACTTTATAGCCGCGTCTCTCAACCCTGAGTAATTTTAAGATGTGTGGACTTCAACTCCCAGAATCCTGAAGAGTCGAAATCCAGACGCCTTAAAACTGCCACGGTTGAGGAAAACCTAGTCTCAAGGATGGTTAATACGTCTGAAAGAGAGAGGCTGCTTCAACGTCCAACTTTCCAAGGGTTCATCTTCTACCAACGAAACATTTTAGACCCCAATAGATCGGACAGTTACCATTGGATCTCCAATATTCCCCTTTGGACCAGGCCACTTGAGACTGTGATGGTGACCCAGTTTTAGGATTTGCAGAATTGGACTTTTCAACTGGATCCACTTTAGCCTGGCTTCCGAGCTGTCTCTGGAACTCAAGTAGCCTTTTCTGTCTTGTGAGATGTTTCCTATCGCGCTCCAAGCGGAGGAGGCATCTCTTCGTGGGTTCCGCTTGAGTGTCCATCCATTTTCGGTGCCAGCGACCTTGAGGTCCTCCTGGATTGTCTTGCAAGACTAAGACTTTGGGATGCTGCAGGACAGTGGATCCTGAAGGGCAGATTCCAGAGAAATAGTACCCTTCCTTGACACTTCTTGTCTTCTGCGCTAATTAACATTTGCATAAGTTAAGAACTCTCTGCTCATCTCAGCCCAGAAAGCAGGAGAGCTTCTGAACTGCTGGATGAGATTGAGCATGCCGTAAAGTTCTCCACTTACATCAGTCAGGATCAGATGCCTCAAAGGTGTTTTTTTCAGGAGGCAACTGGACTTTCTCGTTTTTCTTTGAAGACGTTTCGCTTCCCATCCCAGAAGCTTCCTCAGCTCTGACTGGATGGTGGGGGAATGGAAGGATTTATACTCCTTGCAGACAGCCGGTCATTTGCATCCTTTCAGAGAGTTGTTGAGGCCACTTGGGGGTTGATTGGATGGTGGGGACTCTCAACGACTCTCTAAAAGAATACAAATAACCCTTCAGTCAGAGCTGAAGAAGCTTCTTGGAGGAGAAGCAAAACGTCTTCAAAGAAAAACAAAGAAAGTCCAGTTGCGTCTTGAAAAAGCACCTTTGGGAGAAGGATGAAAGAGAAAGAAGAAGAAGGGAGGGAAAGGAGGAGAAGGACAGGAGAGAGAGACAACGAGATACAGAGAAAGAAAAGAAAGGAAAGAAATATGGAAAGGAAGGAAGGAAGGAAGGAAGGAAGGAAGGAAGAAAGGAAGAAAGAAAGAAAGAAAGAGAGTCTGCAAGGAATATAAATCCTTCCCCACCATCCAGTCAGAGCTGAAGAAGCTTCTAGGATGAGAAGCAAAATGTCTTCAAAGAAAAACAAAAAAAGTCCAGTTGCCTCTTGAAAAAGCACCTTTGGGAGAAGGATGAAAGGGGAAGAGGAAGAGGAAGATGGGAGGTAAACAAGGAGAAGGATAGGAGAGACATAAAGAAAGAAAGAGAAAGAAAGAAAGAAAGAAAGAAAGAAAGAGAAAAAAGGGAAAAGAAAGGAAGGAATGAAGGAAAGGAGAGAAAGGAGAGAAAGAAGAGAAAGAAAGAAAGAAAGAAAGAAAGAAAGAAAGAAAGAAAGAAAGAGAAAGAAAGAAAGAAAGAAAGAAAGAAAGAAAGAAAGAAAGAAAGAAAGAAAGAAAGAAAGAGTCTGCAAGGAATATAAATCCTTCCCCACCATCCAGTCAGAGCTGAAGAAGCTTCTTGGATGAGAAGCAAAACATCTTCAAAGAAAAACAAGAAAGTCCAGTTGCTTCGTGAAAAAAGCGCCTTTGGGACAACCATGACCTGGAGGACAGAGAATCTCTACAATCAGGAACAGACTTTCCACTGCTAAGCAACTGAATGAAAAGGACATTAATTTAAAAGCAATACAGCTTATTAACATCTGTCTGATTTCTGATTATTGCACTTGTTTCGGGGAGGGGGGGTGTCTGTCCAAATAGAATACAAATATACCCCTAACATATTTTTATGCTGTTTAAATGTGTGTGTGTGTGTGTGTTTAAATGTACTTTGATTAGACTTGGACAAAAGGTTTCAAATCTAAAACCTTTTTGATTTGGATTTCATACCCCCCCCCCCAAAAAAATGTTGTTCCTCTGGAACATTTCCTGTGAGAATGGAACAGCTTGTTTGGAATTTGAAAGGAAAAAAAAGTGCAATTCTAATGTTAACTCGCTGTCCAGCAAACAGATAACACTTTGCTATGGGGGCCAGGGTAACCATTTTATATAAATTCATTGAATAAATGCAAGAACAGAGTGGTTTCTAGCCAATTTGGCTATTCTCCCGGTGCCATTTTTCGTTGAAAGACAAAATTTGAGATGGTGAAAATATATTTTTAAACAGGCTGTTCTTGACGCTTTTCAGCACTCGATCGAAAAAGATGGTTCAGCGTTTACAAGTTGCATGCCGTGTTATCAATTCTTCAACCAAACATATGTTTTCCCAGGACTGTGCACCTTTTTCTGAGCATAAATTGCTTTTCCCTGGGGTTAAAATTGGGCATTCAGAAAATATTAAGAAAAAAGGCGAAAGATTTATACGATCTGAAGAGAAACCAGAGTTTTTATCGTGTGCGGACATGGACAGGCTAACTATGGAACTAAAAGACAAGACAGAAACGGACTATTTTGGAATCTGGGACAAATTTTACTGCTGGTACGAGTCAAGAAGAACTGTTCGGGTTTTGAGTTAAAGTTTAAGTTTGTGGTATATAAAATTATATGTTAATATATAGAGAAATAAGCTCAAGATTGTATAATATTGTATTAGATAGGGGAATATATGTATATATATAGAGAGAGAGATGTATATATAGAACTTTAAATATGATAAGGAACGAATTGTTAGGATTATATATACTGGAACGTCATGTCATGTCCTTTTTTGTTTTAATTGTTTTATTAATAAAAAACTTTAAAAAAAGAAAAAGAAAAAGAAAATATTAAGAAAACAGACTCAATGCTATGGTTAAAAACGTGGTTTGATGAAAAGCAGCCCAAAGGTCAGAAAGGGAATTATGGAAGGAAAAGTTGGATTCCCTTAGAAAATTTTTCCTTCCATAATTTCCAGATCAAAGCAAAATTTCCAGAGGAATTTCCAGACTTCAGGGAAGTCGGAGTGAGGTGAGATGACTGAGAAAAACAGAGGAGGAAAAAAACAAACCGAGATTTTTCCATGACTGCAGTAAGTTTCCACGATAGCAGTAAAGTTGTAAAAACTTACAAACAGGAGCAAACCTGCCTCTTCCTTTACAGCAATATCACTCCCCCATTTACATTACAGTACAGGTAGTCCTCAATTTACAACCACAATGGATCTCAAAGGTTCCGTTAAGTGAAACATTTGTTAAGTGAGTTTTGCCCCATTTTATAACGTTTTTTGTCACAGTTAAGTGAATCGCTGCAGTTAAGTTACTAACAGGGTTAAGTTGAATCTGGCTTCCCCATGGACTTTTCTTGCCAGGAAGATCGCAAAAGGGGATCGTGTGACCCGGGGACACTGCGACCGTCATAAATATGAGTCAGTTGCCAAGCGTCCGAATTTTCATCCCATGACCGTGGGGAAGTGTGAAAAATAGTCATAAGTCACTTTTTTTTAGTGCTGTTGTAACTTTGAACGTTCACTAAACAAACAGTTGTAAACTGAGGACTACCTGTAATCTAAAATTAATCAAGGAGAGAAGCAACCTAGAATTAAGGAGAAACTTCCTAACAGTGAGGAGAATTAACCAGTGGAACGGCTTGCCACCAGACGTTGTGGGTGCTCCACCACTGGAGGTTTTTAAGAAGAGACTGGACAGCCATTTGTCTGAAATGGTAGAGGGTTTCCTGCCTGAGCGGGGGCGGGGGGTGGACTAGAAGACCTCCAAGGTCCCTTCTGTTAATCCTAATTGATTTCAGGGCAAGTAATCTGAAATGATTGGTGCTTCAAAGAGTCTCTCATTAGGGATCTGAAACATACTACTGAATTACAGGTAATCCTCCTCTTAGTAAGGGATCCCCCCTTAGGGACTCCTCTAAGTAAGAGACCACTCCTTAGGGACCCCTCTAAGTAAGGGACTCCTCTTAAGTACCACTCTGAGTAAGGGACACCCCTTAGGGACCCCTCTAAGTAAGGGACTCCTCTTAAGTACCACTCTGAGTAAGGGACGCCCCTTAGGGACTCCTCTAAGTAAGGGACTCCTCCTTAGGGACCCCTCTAAGTAAGGGATTTCTCTTAAGTACCCCTCTAAGGGACTCCCCTTAGGGACTCCTCTAAGTAAGGGACTCCTCTAAGTAAGGGACCACTCCTTAGGGACCCCTCTAAGTAAGGGATTCCTCTTAAGTACCCCTCTGAGTAAAGGACGCCCCGTAGGGACTCCTCTAAGTAAGGGACCACTCCTTAGGGACCCCTCTAAGTAAGGGACTCCTCTTAAGTACCACTCTGAGTAAGGGATGCCCCTTAGGGACCCCTCTAAGTAAGGGACTCCTCTTAAGTACCACTCTGAGTAAGGGACGCCCCGTAGGGACTCCTCTAAGTAAGGGACTCCTCCTTAGGGACCCCTTTAAGTAAGGGATTCCTCTTAAGTACCCCTCTGAGTAAGGGACTCCCCTTAGGGACTCCTCTAAGTAAGGGACTCCTCTAAGTAAGGGACCACTCCTTAGGGACCCCTCTAAGTAAGGGATTCCTCTTAAGTACCCCTCTGAGTAAGGGACTCCCCTCAGGGACTCCTCTAAGTAAGGGACTCCTCTAAGTAAGGGACTCCTTTTCTGGACCGGGATGCTTTGCGCACAGTCACTCAGGCTCTCGTCACCTCCCGCCTGGACTACTGTAATGCTCTTTACATGGGGCTCCCTATGAGGAGCATCCGGAGGCTTCAGCTGGTCCAGAATGCGGCCGCGCGGGCGGTGTTGGGAGCGACACGTCGCTCCCACGTAACGCCGCTGCTGCGCGAGCTGCACTNTAAGTAAGGGACTACTCTAAGTAAGGGACCACTCCTTAGGGACCCCTCTAAGTAAGGGATTCCTCTTAAGTACCCCTCTGAGTAAAGGACGCCCCTTAGGGACTCCTCTAAGTAAGGGACACCTCTAAGTAAGGGACCACTCCTTAGGGACCCCTCTAAGTAAGGGATTCCTCTTAAGTATCCCTCTTGAGTAAGGGACTCCCCTTAGGGACTCCTCTAAGTAAGGGACCATTCCTTTGGGACCCCTTAAGTAAGGGACTCCTCTTAAGTACCCCCTGAGTAAGGGAAGCCCCTTAGGGACTCCTCTAAGTAAGGGACCCCTCTAAGTAAGTGACACCCGTTAGGGACCCCTCTAAGTAAGGGACCCCCCTTAGGGACCTCTCTAATTAAGGTATCCCTCTGAATAAGGGACCCCTTCCCTTTTTGCGCCCCACCGCCTCCCCCCCCCCCTTTGCATCTGAGCCCCTCCAAGGACCCCAGCCGGGTCTTCCAACTGGGGAGGGGGGGCTCCGTGCCTGCAAAAGCGCCCGCCTGCCTGCAGAGCTGCACCCCGCGTGCATCCCTCCCCCCCTTACCTGCCAGCAGCATCGCCCGGGCCACCGCGCCCGCCATGCGCCCCGCGCCGATGAAGCCCACGCGCAGCTCCCGCAGCGGCTCCATGGCTCTTCTGCTCGCCCACTCCCCCCCTCCTCCCTCCGCGCACGGCCAGGTTTTGCTCCGGCCACGCCCCCCCCGCCGCCCCGGACAGCCAATCCCCGCGCGGCTCCGCTCGCGGGTCTCGCGCTCGCGGCAGGGCGCGTATCCGCCCCGCCCCTTTCCGGAGGCGAAGCGGGCAGGCGCGGCGGCGATTGGCCGAGCGCCCGTGACGTCACGCGGCGGGTTTTCTTTAAAAGCGGCCGCGCGGCTCGCGAAGCGCACTTGCGGGGTTCGGAGGGGAGTGGAGGGTCGGTAGGTTTCGGGGGGCCGCGTGACCTCGCCGGACCCCGCTGTTTGCTTCCCTTCCACGCCGTGCTGGGCTCCGATGAGGTTTCTTTGTCTTCCCCCCCCCCCCCTTTTGCACCTGCCCGACTTTGGCTAATTTTTTGCCGAGCCCAGCTGTGCTGGTCTTTGGATAGGGGACCACGAGGCGATCCACGGGGAAGCGGTTTAAAAGCGTTCAGGGGAAAAGGGGAAGGGCAATTTGCAAGAGCTGGGTTTTTTTTTACAGGAGGAGGCTTTTGAGTTTTCCTGTTTGGAACGAGCGTAGACTTTGCCTCCAGAAGTGGTGGGTATGTTATCACTGGAGGTTTTTAAGAAGAGATTTGGAGAGCTGTTTTCCTGCTTGGGCAAGGGGCTGGACTAGAAGACCTCCAAGGTCCCTTCCAACTATGTTATTCTGCAAGGGTCTCCTGCTTGGGCATGGGGTTGGACTAGAGGACCTCCGAGGTCCCTTCCAACTATGTTGTTCTGCAAGGGTCTCCTGCCTGAAAGGGGGTTGGACTAGAAGACCTCCAAGGTCCCTCCCAACTCTGTTATTCTGCAAGGGTCTCCTGCTTGAGCAAGGGGTTGGACTAGAAGACCTCCAAGGTCCCTTCCAACTCTGTTATTCTGCAAGGGTCTTCTGCTTGGGCATGGGGGCTGGACTAGAGGACCTCCAGGGTCCCTTCCAACTTTGTTATTCTCTAAGGGTCTCCTGCTTGAGCAGGGGGCTGGACTAGAAGACCTCCAAGGTCCCTTCCAACTCTGTTCTGTTATTCTGCATAGCTTGTCTCTGCTCCATCCCTGGAGGTTTTTAAGAAGAGACTGGAGAGCCATTGAAATGGTTTAGGGTTTCCTGCCTGAGCAGGGGGTCAGACTAGAAGACCTCCAAGGTCCCTTCCAGCACTGTTGTTCTGTTATAGAAGTTGGCTTAAGGTTTCAAAGAAGACAACATGGCCCGTAGGAAGCTGAAGTACGAAAACGCAACACAAATGAATGTCTCTGGTCTTTAAAGACCTTACTTAAAAGAGGGGTGTCTTTGCAGGTTTTAAAATGCAAGCAATAATTGTTACTATCGCTTATTACTCTGCCTTGGGTAAAATGAAGCAATACAAAACGAAATAAATTTTTGTAACAATTGTCAACGTCAGGAATATCTTACCCGATTCGTTTCTCTCAGCTATTAACTTTCATAATTTTCCTTCTAATTTAACTTCTCTGGACCTCGCTCTTTATTTAAGAAGTCCCTAAGGAGACATGTGTAAATGCACTAACGCGCCTGTTCTCCCCGTTACATTTTAATTTTGTTATTTTGCTTGTTAGAATTTGTAATTTTTGTTGGACGAATAATTTTTTTTAAAAAAAGTAGAAAATTGGGTCCTGAAAAAAAACTGCTCGGGAAATCTGAATGCGACTGCAGAGAGCAGGGGTGCTACTAATAATACGGGGATTGTAGATGCTCTGTGGGGTGGGGGGGAGCCTTTTCAACTGGCAGTGGTAGAATCTGGGGGTCTTTCTCCAGGTCTGGGGCCAGGACCTTTTTCAAGTGGAGCCTCGGTGTTCCATGGCAGTCTACCGTGGAATGAGAGTTTGTGTGTTAGCAAGTAGCAGAGAATCATGGCCTTTAGAGCAGGGTGTCCACCTTTGGGAATTTTAAGAAATAATAATAATAATAGTAATAATAATAATAATAATAATAATAATAATAATAATAGTTGGAAGGAACCTTGGAGGTCATCTAGTCCAACCCCCTGCTCAGGCAGGAAACCCTGTACCATTTCAGACAAATGGTTGTGCGGTCTCTTCTTGAAAACTTCCAGTGTTGGAGCATTCACAGCTTCTGGAGGCAGGTTGTTTGTGGACTTCAACTCCCAG